GATATAAGCCCTATAATCATGAAAGCATACAATCTAAGACAAGATGATACATTTACACAATTATTTATTGAATTGAAGAACATTTACAACATGTGTAAGTCTCTAGAATATGAAAAGATCACAAATACACTTCATTCCCCAAATTAAAACAAGATTATAGCATGCTTACAAATGAGGCTTCATCACCTCCCTAGATGGAGGTTTAGTTACCCATTGATGCACTAGAGGAAGGAGGAAGCAAAGCCTTGACCTCCATTTTCGAGCTCCCCTCTTCTAGCTCCAAGAACACACCTCTTTTTGCTCTCTTCTCTCTCTCTAATCTTGTAGAATGAAGCTTTATAATATGTGTGCCTCTTATCCCTCTTATCTACCACCAAACTAGGCTCTCTCTCCTCCAAAAACATCCCCAACCACCTCATAAAAGAGGGCCATCCAAAATTGAAAATTTCAGAGCACAAGTGGGCTGTCTCGTGGAGCAAACTGCCCAAATTTCGAGTGCTCGAAATAGGGCCTCGAGCACTCGAATTTAGTGTAAAAAGCTCCACGCTTCACTTGCTCCGCCCAGACCTACTTTGATGAAATGGCCATAACTTTGCGCTCCGAACTCCGAATGACAAACCGTTTAAAGATTTGGAGAGCTAATTCAGAGCTTTAAAAACTTTATGTTTTGATGAAGACCTAAATCTCAAGTCTGGTTGGTCAAAAATGGGGATAAAGGCAGTACTTCAGTGCTGCCAGGCAGTTCTGCGCACCTCTGGTAACAAGGCCATAACTCTCTGCTCCGAGCTCCGAATGATGAACCGTTTGAAGATTTAGAAATCTAATTCAAAGCTCTAAATCTTTCATGTTATAATGGAAGTCCAGTTCTTGAGTTTGATAGGTCAAAATGGTGAACAAAGTTCAGGCTTCACTGCTGCCAGAAATTCAGCTTTTGAGCACATTGTTGATCAAAATTCCACAAGGGCTTATTTTCGCTCCCTTTTTGCAATTAAACCTGAAAATGCATAAAAACACACAAATGAAGATAATCTACAGAATTAAACAAACAACGGACTTAACTAATGCAATTTAGGGCGCTTGAATATACAGTATTCGGCGCTTATCATGCAGATCGATCAGTTCCGACTAGAACGGACAACCAGAGTAGGGAAATGACTCGTTGAGGAGGAAAAGCAGGAATTAGTTGATTTTTTGTCTCAAAACGCAGATGTGTTCGCATGGAGTCACCTAGACATGCTATGGATCGATCCTTCAGTATCCTGTCACTCCTTGAACGTTAACCCCAATGCAAAATCTGTAAAGCAGAAGCAGCGACGGTTTGCCCCCGCGCGCAACTGAATTATTGCCGAGGAGGTTGACAAGCTGCTTGATGCGGGGTTTGTAAGAGAAGTGTACTACCCCGACTGTCTATCGAATGTGGTCGTTGTGCAAAAGAAAAATGGGAAATGGCGCGTATGCATTGATTTTACCAATTTAAACAAAGCTTGTCTGAAGGATAGCTTCCCGCTGCCAAAGATTGATCAGATGGTGGATGCAACTACTAGATATGAACGCTTGACCTTTTTAGATGCTTATTCGGGTTATAATCAGATCCCCATGGACCCCGCTGATAAAGAAAAAACTTCTTTCGTTACTGAACGCGGGATGTATTGCTACAAAGTTATGCCATTCAGACTGAAGAACGCCGGGGCAACTTACCAAAGACTTATTAGCAAGATTTTTAAGGAACAAATAGGGAAGATAGTGGAGGCTTACATTAATAATATGGTGGTCAAAAGTAAAAAGAAAGCTGATCATGTACAACATCTTCGAGACGTGTTTAATGTGTTGTGGCGATATGGAATGAAGCTCAATCCGACCAAGTGCTCGTTCGGTGTAAGTTTAGGCCAATTCCTAGGGCACGTGGTTAATCTCAGAGGCATCGAGGCAAGCCCTGCCCAAGCAGATGCTCTGACTAAGAATGCCGAGCCGACGACAATCAAAGAAGTGCAAACACTTACGGGACAGATTGCTGCACTGAGCCATTTCATTTCCAAATTGTCAGATCGATGCAAACCATTTTTTGACACAATACGGAACCACGGCAGGCAGGTTTGGGGAGATGAACAACGCCTAGCGTTAACTGCTCTGAAAAAATATATGCAGAACCTTCCGGTACTGTCAGTTCCAGAATCAGGCGAAGAGCTGTTTTTGTATCTCGGAGTATCCAGCATCGCGGTGGCGTTCTGATCCGCTACGCAGAAGGGAAGCAATATCCAGTGTTCTATGTTAGCAAGACAATGACTGAGGCCGAAAGACGTTATTCAAAGGCAGAGCGAGTGATACTCTCGCTAGTGCATGCGAAAAGAAAGCTCAGGAATTATTTTGAATCCCATCCTATTATCGTTCTAACCACTTTCCCTATCAGAATAATCCTACATAAACCAGATCTCTCCGGAAGAATGATGAAGTAGGCCATAGAGTTAAGCTCATTTGATATCACATACGAACCTAGAACGGCAGTCAAAGGGCAGGCGGTGGCAGATTTTTTACTAGAATGTGATTCAGAGGACGTGGAGGAGGATCTTTGTAAGTGCTTATGGAAACTCTTCGTTGATGGATCCTCAAATCAGATGGGTGCAGGCATTGGGATCAAACTGCAGACGCCAAAAGGTACAGCCTTAAGCCAAGCGCTTCGGCTTGAATTCGCAGCCACGAACAATAAGGCAGAGTATGAAGCGTTGCTGGCAGGAATAAAGCTTGCTAAAGAACTTAAGGTCAGGAATTTGAATGTTTTTAGTGACTCACAGTTAGTCGTTCGGCAAGTGAGGGGTGAGTATGAAACCAAGGATGAAACGATGGAAGCATATCGTTCTGCTGTTATGCGGAAGGCGAAGAACTTTGAAAAAATTGAATTCATTCAAATTCCGAGGGAGTATAACGAAGTTGCCGATATGCTAGCATGTAGCGCCTCGGGTTCTGGAGAAATATTGGCAAGGGTGGTTCCAGTGGGAATATTAAACCAGCCATCCATTTTCGAAGAACCTTCAGGCTCGGATCCTTGGCAAGTGAATGTTATTCCATACGAGCCAAGTTGGATTGATCCGATCATAACTTACATCCGAGATGGTATTCTGTATGAACAAAGAGATGAGGCTAGGAAAATCAAAGCGAATGCTGCAAAGTACGCCGTAGTGCATAACCAGTTATACAGAAGATCTTTTTTCAGACCGTACTTAAAGTGTGTTACCCCCACAGAGGCTCGGCAAATATTACGAGCTATTCATGAAGGCGTATGTGGAAACCACTCAGGGGGGAGATCATTAGCACACAAAGCAATGGCTCAAGGGTACTTCTGGCCAAACATGTCGCGAGATTTGGAAGAATTGTCCAGAAGGTGCGATAAGTGCCAAATGTTCAGACCACTGATTCACCAACCGCCTAAAGACTTGCATGTAATGGCCACACCATGGCCTTTCGCACAATGGGGGATGGATGTAGTTGGTCCTCTACCAACTGCCAGAGCTCAGAACAAGTATGTGTTACTGGCTACAGACTACTTTACTAAGTGGGTGGAAGCAGAGCCATATCCGAGCATTACTCAAACTCATGTGAGACGATTCATTTGGAGTAATATTATTTGCCGGATTGGTGTTCCGAGGTCAATCGTCATGGATAATGGTACCAACCTTGACAGTAAGCAAGTAAGAGAGCTATTGGAGGAGTATGGAATCAATCAAAAGCTGGCAGCAGTGAGTCACCCACAGGCCAATGGACAGCGAAAATTACAAACAGAACAATCTTTACTTGTATCAAGAAGAAACTAGAGGAAAGGAAAGGAAGGTGGTTAGATGAACTGCCGAACATCCTATGGGCCTACAGAACGACCCCTAGACGACCGACCGGAGAAAGCCCATTCACCATGGCGTATGGAACCGAGGCAGTTATACCAGTTGAGCACTTAGTTCCGACTGTTCGAAGCTTGGCATGGAACCGTGAGCATAATGACAGTATGCTAAGGTTTAACCTCGATTTGTTGGAAGAAAAAAGAGACGCAGCAGCGGTAAGGCTCGCATCTTACTAGCAGACGCTTGCGAACAACCATAACAGGAAAGTAAAGCACAGAGACTTTAGGCCTGGTGACCTGGTTCTGAAAAAGAAGGTGGGGATAGTCAAAAAGATTATGCCACCATGGGATGGCCCATACAGAATTGCAGAGGCTATAGGAAAAGGGGCATATACCTTAGAAACCATGGCCGGAAGACTGGTTAACAAACCTTGGAATGCTACTTCTCTGAAGAGGTATTATCAATAAAAAGTTGAGATTCAATACTGAATTTTGTTTATTTTAAATTGAAAACAGTCGAATGTATAAGTTTCTGAGATTTATAAAGATTGCACTTCTCTTTAAAATCCTAAGCAAAGTAAGTGGCAACTGGCACTATGAGCCGAACGTCAAACACTTGCTAAGAAAAATAAAAAACCAAGTGGCAAGTGGCATTCCAGCCGAGCGCTAGCCACCTAAGCAAAGTAAGTGGCAGCTGGCACTATGAGCCGAACGCCAAACACTTGCTAAGAAAAATAAAAGGCCAAGTGGCAAGTGGCATTCCAACCGAGCGCCAGGCACCTAAACAAAGTTAGTGGCAGCTGGTACTATGAGCCGAACGCCAAACACTTGCTAAGAAAAATAAAAGGCCTAGTGGCAAGTGGCATTCCAGCCGAGCGCCAGGCACCTAAGCAAAGTTAGTGGCAGCTGGCACTATGAGCCGAACGACAAACACTTGCTAAGAAAAATAAAAGGCCAAGTGGCAAATGGCATTCTAGCCGAACGCCAGGCACCCGAGCAAAGTAAGTGGCAGTTGGCACTATGAGCCGAACGCCAAACACTTGCCAAAAAAAAAAAAAAAGAAGAAGGAAGTTTACATAAAAAGTTTGATCAAAAGTCGGTCATCTCATTAATAAGGTTCAGAAGGTTACAAAAAAATGAGGTGTAAAGATGGCAAATATACCAAAGTCAGTACATTTAAAAAAAAAAAAAAAAAAAAAAAAGTTCTAACTAAGAGGCGTTTGCCTCGTCGGCCTCTTGATGATGTTGGGCTGCCTCCTCATTATTGGTGGTGTCGTCGTCCTCACGAGGTGGAGAGTCGAGGTGAATGACAGAATCGTTCTGTTGAGTCCTACCCTCAACAGCGTCGGAAGAATCATTCTGCTGAGGGTTATCTTCAGCAGTAGCAGTAGATGGAGTCAAAGTGGACAGAGGAAAAATGTCCAAAGTCAGAGCAGCAGGAGGAGTAGGAGTGATTCGAGAGGACGCAATCTCCTGACATTCATCAAATATGCCCTCGGCAGCGGTGGAGTCTGGATCTGTATAAACACCAGGAGGGTCAATATCCAGTTCTTTATCAACATTATCAGGGGTAGAAACAGTCTGACCCTCATCCGGAACGCGATCGGCGTAACCCTCTCGGAACCCCTGAGCATATCTGAGGGCTCCAACTCTAGAGAACCGAGCATGCAGAGCTAGCATACCACCATTTACCCTGCTGATGGTATCAAGTAAAGCGTTGCGCTCGTCCAAGGCCCTTTTCTCAAAGGCCATCCGAGCGGATTACTCTTCACTCAGAAGGCGTAGCAGTTCTTCCTTCTCGGCCTTAAGGGATTCCCGCTCGGTCTGCCAGACGCTCTTTTCAAGCTGCAGAGCATTCCTCTCATCCTGAAGAGAGTCAGTCTCCTTCCTCAGCGAATCCCTCTCTTTTTTCAATTTTGCCAAGTTGAACCATCAACCCGGTCTTCTGAGCAGCCAAATCATCGTTCTCCTTGTTCGCTGCATTAAGGCTATCAGAAAGCGTGCGGACCTTGGCATTCACATGATCAACTTGTTTCTGCATAGCCATCATCCCGTACAAGGTCTGTAGAGATATACAGGACAACTGGTTAAGCCGAGCAGATGGTTAGAAGAAAATAAGTGTCAAGAGTGTGTAAATATTTATTAACTAAAGGGCAGAAGTTACCTCCATGGCGGACAAGGGAAATCGACTGAACACCTCCCTCTGAGACAGACCTTTGGCTACCTCGATGTCCTTGGGAGTCCACATACTTCTGTAGTAAGCCATTGCGGTCTGACCATCTTTGAACATGGTCTCGGTCGGTTTTACAGACGATCCGTCTGTTCAAATGAAGCGAGGGCTCCATGGCGCCGTTCCTGAAGCGGAGGCATGCCCAGAAGGGGTGGGGGGCCTAGCTTGAGGAGGTCTCGTCAGGGATATCACATTCGGCCCAGAGGGCCTAACCCTCTAAGACAAGGGAACGTCATCTATGCTGAGGGCACTGTCAGGTTGATGCCTTTTTCCTCTGGCCTTTTCCCGTGCAGAAACAGTAGTAGAACTAGGAGGATTGTTGACAGAGGGGGTAACGTTCGGACTAGCAGTCGTCGTGTTAGCGACCGGGTCAGCAGCCGTCACGGATGGATCGGTGGAAGGAGTGGTATCAGAAAGGGTAGCGGAGGAAGATGCTGAAGCCGGTGAGGAATTTGATGCAGGGGTGATAGCAGGCCTGGGGGCAGTTTTCTTCCTGCCGAAGGAAGGGATCTGGAGTTGGCTCATTGTCTTGCCGAGGACTGAGATATCGAGGAGATTGTCTGAGTTGAGAAGGTCCGAGCAAGAGGGAACGTTGGTTAGAACGTACCGCTTCAGGTAGTTATCCCTATCCCTGCACACACTGTAGCTCAAGTCATCACAAGGAATGCCTAAGGAATGGCACAAGAAAGTACAAAAACGAGGAATACAAATCTCGCAAGGACAGTCACTCTTATGGTTTTTATATTTCTTGTAAAAAGAGACAGAGCACTCTCCGAAAGCGTTCGGGATAGCGAAATCCTCCGCAGCTAGAGAGAACCAGGCTCCCCTAACCCCAATAATGTTTTTCCTCCAACCCTTCTCGGATTTGATTTTATCCGTGCAGAAGGACCTCTTCTCAATGGGGAAAAAGTGGTAAAACGGTTCGTCAGTTCTGATCTTGCTGACCTTGTAACAGAGGAGAAAATCTACGAGGTCCAGATCCAGACCTCTGTCACGAATCAGAAGTAGCATAACAGATAAAATCCTAAGGAAATTGGGGTTTACTTGTAAAAGGGAAAGATTTAGCTTGTTAAAAACATAGCAAAAGAAATGATGTAAAGGAAATCTAAGGAGATTGAGATGGAGGAGTGAAAACGGGACCTCGCCGGGAAGAAGGCCAGCACCGGTTCTAATATTCACTTCTCGGGGGCAGTTTCTAATTTCTACATCGTCAGGAAGGTGAAGTTTCATGCGAAGAACGTCTAGATCTACTGTCATGGTGAGAGTGAATGAGGATTCCGGGGAGAAGAAAGAAGTCTTCCAAAAGAAAAATGCAAATGAAACTAACCTTAGAGAGTGAAAACGGCAGAAAGTATTGCAAAGCCACTGGAAGGAAGATCTTTCGCAAGAGATCGCCGGAGAGGATTCAAACAGCAAAAGGTGAGATGGAGACGGTAAAGAGGATCGATGGAGAATCAATGGAGCTTATAAAGACGAGGTGAGCCCAAGGGCCGAGGAGTCAGGAAAGCGATGGGTTGTCTTTTTGAATCTCGAAACGCCGACCCCTAGATCTAACCGTCCATTCTCCCACACGATCTCCTCGAGCCGTCAGGTCATCATTAGCAGCCTCTAATAATTACCCCCTAATCAATAAGGGGTAATTATAGGGGCAGTTGAGGATGCGGCAAGTGGCATGGGCCGGATATGGTTCGTGGGAACGAGATCGGGTCGAATGATTGAAGTAGGATCCATGCCAAAGCGCCCTAGAATGGGCCGAACCTGGGGGATCCACCGAGGAAGGTCAATCCCATTGGAAGATCGAGCCCAGAAGGAAAAGAGCTTTCGAATATAGGCCCAATGTAATTGGTTAACAGCAATAAGGATGATGGCCTATAAATAGACCATTACAGGTGGAAAGTGAGGGGAGAATGCTAGATAGAGAGAGAGAGAGAGAGAGAGAAGAAACGAAATCTTGTATCTTCACTAGACTTTTGGAGTAAAATATGCAAACCAAAGGAAGTGGATGGTTTAGGCTTTAAATATATTGATGCTTTCAACTTTTCCCTGTTACTAAACTGACCACAAGCCAGTACCGGTTGTGGCGAATCCAAAATCCAACAGTACAAGTGCATGCTTGTGAACTTACAGCATATATAAAAGAGTAAAGAGAATGAAATAGATTTGTAATACAAAGCATAAATATAACCTGAGATGGTTAAAAGTCACAAGCTACTTATTTTTAAAGTTTGATGATATACATGCACAGAAAGCCATATCTCTTCATCAATCAGCATATTATTTTATATCACGAATCCATGTTATCCTTCAAAAGTATCAACTTCATTACGAAAAAAGAAGAGACCAGAAGGATCTCCATCCGGCAGCAAAGCCAATCTCACGGCGCTTTGGGCACCTTCTTCAACACTTAATACGCCGGTGTTAAAGTTTATATCAGTTTTCACATAGCCGGGGCACACACAGTTGATGATGATATTCGGGTACTTCTTAGCCACTATCCTTGTGTAGGCATTCATGGCTGCTTTAGAGACTATATATGCAGACAGAGAAGGAGGCCAGCTTTTGGCTTCTATACAACCTTCTTTGAAATCTTTTAGAAACTCATTCAATACTTCATCAACCCTCTCTTCTGTAAGGCTTTCGCCGTCACTGAACACTCCTTTTGCCCATTCGTTTGGTATATTCTGAAACAACATGATAGAAAATAACCGAGAAAAAAAAAAAAAAAAGGATCAACTATTTCAAAGACTTCACTTAATTTTAAAAGAAAAAGAACTCTATATCAACAAGAAATTAAGTAGATCTAATAAGAGGTCTATTAAATCCCTTGTGTAATAGTAGTATAAAGAAAACCAATACTTCGTCAATAATAATTGAATAATTTGCATAAGTAAAGGGAAATATTTTCATGGAGTAATTAAGTTTTTGTGGGAAACCATTTTCCAACAAATTAACTGTACGACTATTTACATAATCGTTCCGTAAACTGATGTAGTATCTGTTTTATCGTAATGAAATTTTCTTTTACAGGAAAATGCAAGCCCCTCATCCAACACCATTGTTGATTTCCTTTCCTGACATAATTCGTTTCGTAAGACAAACATCTCGAACCAAGCCAAGGTAAAGTGCAAGCCACTGCCCGAATCGGTGATTGGTTGTTTATTGTTTGGAAAACATTACAAATTACTGAACTTGGTCAAATTTAGAATGTATATGAAACAAAACTTGGTTGCTAAAAATTTGGTTAGACATAATCTTATGACCAATACACAACACAACTGAACTTCAAACCAATTTGCTAGCTAATATCGAACTTGATAAAGTTGCTTACGAGGATGCAAAGATTGATTTCATGGAGGGTAAAAAAAAAAAAAAAATTACCTTTAACTTCCCCATGGAGGAAGAAACATTCACAATTCTTGGCGAATCAGATAAGTGGAGAAGGGGAAGAAATGCTTCAATCATCCTTTTTGCACCATAGTAATTTATTTGCAGGCATTCTTCTGTCACCTCATAAGTCTGGGTCATTATTTTATCCCATTTGATCTGTGCCATTTTCTGCATCAGTGGGGCAAAAAAAAAAAAATAACAATTCTACAGTAGGAAGGAAAATGTATATCTGTTATCCCTCTCCCCCTCCACAAAACAAATAATATACAGTCAATTTTATAAATACATCACGCGAACTACATTTTAATTAATCAAATATATTAGCAACAACTGAACATTGCACAAACTCATGAGAAGTCGAAACGAAAGTGCTTCAAATTCGACCAAACAATCTGTTCATGAAAAAGATTATGTTGGTTTTCTAACACAACTTGGAGAAAGAAAGAATTTAATGGACACCAGAATAATCTCTTATTGCATCTCTCTTTTATCATCTTATTCAAGAAAGGTAAAGGTGAAAATAATATAGCAACATAATTAAATTCCACAATATTATGCCTTTTCGCCACTTCCCACCCGCAATTTCTATTATTATTATTATTATTATTATTTTTCATTCTGGATTCATTGAGAAGTAAAACTTAAATACAAGTGCATGATCTTCAAGCAAATTGCATAGTAAACTTTGGTGTCTCTAAAGTTGCATTTAATTTCGGTTTGGCATTTTGGTGGCAGTAAATAGACAGATTGAATATAATGGACTCACCTCCTCAAGAGCACCATCACCAGCCACTGCAGCTCTTAACGCATCACCGTCTGCTATGGCACCAGTAATCCCTGCATTGTTCACCTTTACAATTTCCAACTTTTCTCAATATTTATTTAACAAAACATTATGTGAAATAGACAATTCATTAAATTCTTTTATAAATTCAGAGTCTGTCTACGCCTCAATAAGCGAAGGCAAAGGCAAAGTCATCTCAAAATCTTCAAGAATCTTCAAGACAATGAGGAGATATCTTTTAGTCACAATACATTATATGGCCTCAGTTCTGTCAACATACTCAAATGTGTTTCAGTAAATTGCTATCAGAAAAGTTTTTTTTCAAACTGACTAATCCAATCGTAGTTATATCTATTCAATGGATCGAGTATAGAAGCCATTTAACTAATAAATATCACTATTAAGAAAAATTGAGATTTGATCATGCAGAGTAAAATAAACCAGCATAAAACAATAAATTATTTTATTGAAATTCAAAAAAAAAAAAATAACACTATAAGTGAGGAGGCCCTGGATGACATGGGCCAGGTCCGACTCGCAAAACACAACCTTCAGTCCGAACAGCTGGGTCAGCCCATAAAAGGACACTGCCATATGGGCCGAGCGGGAGTAAGCCCATCAAGAGTGACCAGGGCTTACTGAGGAATAGGCCCAGGTCCAGCAATTAGTAAATATCTTGTAAATATCTTGTAAATATCTATAAATAGGAGTTGGAATGAAGAGGAGGGGGATCTTGATTCGGGTTGAGGTGTAAGAATTCTAGAGAGAGAAAGAATAGAAGGAGTTTCTTGCATCTTCAATTGGCGCCGTCTGTGGGAATCGCATAAAAGTTTGGTTGATCAATGAGGAGGATCGAATGGATTCAAACCAATTCGGTTGATCGAGACTCGATCTTGCGGATTTGAATCCAGATCTGAGCGATTGCGACCTACTCTGGAGGAATTACGATTCTTGAAGCTTTGGCAGGAGTGACTTCAGATCTACGCAACCGCGAGTTGCTCGATTGTGACAGGATCTGACGGATTTAGAGTCCAGGCAATTCAGATCTTGTAAACAGTGAGCATAATTCGGAGAATTAGAAGCCAGATCTAAAAATTCCTACTCACGAAGCTTAGATCTACTCGCGAGCTTGAGATTAATGCCTTTACTCCGTTCGGGAATAATGATAGGTGAAAGCTCCAATCCGATGGAGGCTGTCCAGCAAACAAAGCTTGAAGAGTTGATGAATTTGATTGAAGCTCTCAGAAAAGAAAATGCAGAATTGAAAGCTGGATTGCAGCATCGGCAAATACCCGCAGTCTCGCATCCGCTTCCGGTCGGAGAAGGAGGTGTTCCATCTAGTATCGCGCATCAAGGCGATCAGAACGAGAACAATCAGTCAGCTCACCACCGTGATGAAAGGATGATGGACAATTCGCCGCCAAATGTTCGTCGAGTTGAAGATCACGAAGGTTCGACTCACGTTGATCCGCAGCGGGAAAGGTTTGACCGAGAGGAAGTGATGGAGGTAGATCGCCGTCGAGTAGCGTCGCCTTGGCAGAGAGAGTTCATAGAGGAACGGTCGTTCGATCCGTCTTACCGGCCCTCCATGGTTACTGTCACTCATCACGGTTCGGAGGGCAGAACCGTAACTCACAGAGCTACCGCCGGACTCCAGAGAGAGAATGAAGCTCTCCGATCCGCAGCTCGGACGGTGGATTCACCATTCACCGACGAGATCTTGAATGCGCCGCATCCAAGGAAGTTTGCTATGCCAGTCTTTATTCTGTTTGACGGAACAACCGATCCGATCGATCATGTGTATCATATCCAGTTGAAAATGGCCCTGAACACGGAAAACGACTCTTTAATGTGCAAATGCTTCCCTACAAGTTTGGCCGGACCGGCGCTCAGCTGGTTCAAAAACTTGCCTAGGAGCTCCATTGGCAGTTTCAGGGACCTGTGCGATCGGTTCATAAGCCAGTACTATGGGAACAAACGCCCGCCGAAGGACATCTCGAGCCTGTTCACGATGCGGCAACACAAGGATGAACGGCTCCAGGCCTTTCTTACCAGGTTTAATCTCACTAAGAGTATGGTAATCGAATGCCATCCTACTACGGCAGTTCAAGCCTTCAAGTTAGCCATGACACGCGGAACTCCGTTTCACACCAGTCTGGTAGTGAATACGCCAGCTACCATGGACGAACTCAATGAGAGAGCCGATGGCTTTGTGCGCCTCGAAGAAGAGGAGGCAGCTAATGCTCGGACAACGTCGCTTGTGTCGACCGAGGAAAAGTCCAAGGCAAAGATCAGGCAGAAGCAGGCTCAGCCGCAACGTCAGACCACTTGGAAGGCCGAAAAAAGGTCCAGGGAGGAAGAGTTGATTACTCCGCTGAAGGTCACTCTGGCGAGGTTATATCAGGAGAACAAGGACAAGTTTCATCCACCACTGCCAATTAGACAACCCCTCGAACAGAGGGATCAAACTAAACATTGTGCTTTTCATTCTGATTTCGGACATCAGACTAACGAATGCAGGAACCTGAGGAGGCAAGTGGAGATGTTGATAGCTAGAGGGGAGTTTGCGAGTTATGTTCAAGGCTCGGCGATGGAGCAGAATCGACCAGTGGAACAAATAAAAAGGAGTCATAAACAAAGCTCCCACAATTCGCAACCAGTTCGTATAATCAATGCTATCCATGGTCGACCCGAGCCTAGTGAAGAGCCAGATGAGCTGCTACGGGTGCGCCTGCGGCAGGCACAGATGAAGAAAAGGGTCGGCAATGTGACCACTCTACACCAACAGAGCCCGTCAATGCAGATAAAGTTCGACTGGACAGACCTGCAGCGTGTCCAACTGCCTCATGACGACCCGTTGGTAGTCAGTTTGACAGTGGCAGAGTGCTTGGTGCGCAGAGTTCTGATCGATCCTGGGAGCAGTGCGAATGTTATGCCAAGGGACACATTTGACAGGCTCGACATTAAACCAGAGAGGCTCAAGCCCACCGGAAATCCCTTATTAGGGTTCGATGGGAAGAGGGTGGAACCCGTCGGGATGGTGGAAGTAGAAGTTCAAGCTGCAGAGCGAGCTCTTATGGAAACTTTTGTGGTTGTGGAAATTCACCCCTCGTATAATCTCCTGATGGGAAGAGGATGGATTCACAGAGTCCGAGGTGTACCCTCAACTCTGCATCAGGTCATGAGGTGCCTCGGGCCCGATGGAGATAAAGTGATAGACATTCGGGGGGATCAGGTCGCAGCCAAAGAGTGTTATTCCGTCACACTAAAGCATGCAGGGAAGGGAAAGGCGCCCGTCCGGTCGACAAGCCCCAGATAGCAATTACAGGAACCTCCACTCGAGCAGAATAGGGTGGAGGAGTCAGCCGACTTGACCGAGGAGCCCCTTCTGGATGTGCAGATCGATCAGTCCAGGCCAGAACGAACTACCAGAGTGGGTATAAGACTGACCAGAGAAGAGCAGCAAGAGCTAGTGGATTTCTTATCCCACAATGTCGACGTATTTGCATGGAGTCATCTCGACATGCCTGGAATTAGTCCTTCCGTCTCCTGTCATTCCCTGAATGTCAATCCTAATTTCAAACCAGTGAAACAGAAGCAGCGAAGATTTGCTCCAGAACGTAATCAGATCATAACGGAAGAAGTTGATAGGCTGCTTGATGCGGGATTTATCAGAGAGGTGCACTACCCTGAGTGGTTGTCCAACGTCGTTGTGGTGCAGAAGAAAAATGGGAAATGGCGCGTATGCATTGATTTCACCAATTTAAACAAAGCCTGCCCGAAGGACAGTTTCCCGTTGCCTAAGATTGATCAAATGGTGGATGCCACCACGGGGTATGAGCGTTTAACCTTTCTGGACGCATATTCAGGTTATAATCAGATTCCTATGGACCCCGCAGATGAAGAAAAAACTTCTTTTGTCACCGAGCGAGGAACGTACTGCTACAAGGTTATGCCTTTTGGATTAAAGAATGCGGGAGCAACTTATCAACGACTTGTCAGCAAAGTTTTTAAGAATCAAATGGGTAAGATTGTCGAAGCCTATATTGATGACATGGTGGTGAAAAGTAGGAAAAAGGATGATCATCTGAAGCATCTGCAAGAGGTATTTGATGTACTAAAGCGATATGGGATGAGGCTCAATCCGACCAAGTGCTCGTTCGGTGTGAGTTCCGGGCAGTTTCTGGGACACGTGGTCAACCGCAGGGGCATCGAAGTTAGCCCCGCTCAAGCAGAGGCTTTGATTAAGAATGCCGAGCCAAAGACGATCAGAGAGGTGCAAGCCCTAACAGGACGAATAGCTGCATTAAGTCGATTTATTTCAAAGTTGTCAGACCACTGCAAACCATTCTTTGACACGATTCGGGGCCATGGAAGGCAGGTCTGGGGGGATGAGCAACGACAGGCATTGACTCATTTGAAGCAATATATGCAGAATCCGCCAGTCCTGTCAGCCCCAGAACCGGAAGAAAAGTTATTTCTATATCTTGGAGTATCTGGTGTCGCGACGAGTGCCGTTCTGATTCGTTGCAAGGAAGGGGTGCAATACCCAGTATTTTATGTAAGCAAGACACTGATGGAGGCAGAAAAAAGATACTCAAAGGCCGAACGGGTGGTACTTGCACTTGTAAATGCAAAAAGAAAGTTAAGGCATTATTTTGAATCCCACCCCATAGCTGTTCTAACAACTTTCCCAATCAGAACGCTCATGCACAAGCCAGAGCTCTCGGGCAGAATGACAAAGTGGGCCATAGAGTTGAGTTCATTTGACATAACGTACGAGCCGAGAACAGCTATTAAAGGGCAAGCGGTGGCCGATTTCCTACTAGAATGTGATGCCGAAGATACGGAAGAGGACCTTAGAAGCGGCTCTTGGAAACTTTTTGTGGATGGCTCCTCTAACCCAACGGGGGCTGGGATTGGGATCAAACTGCAAACCCCAGAAGGTACTTCCTTGAGCCAAGCACTCAGACTTGAGTTCCGAGCCACCAATAATGAAGCGGAATACGAGGCGTTGCTAAATGGATTAAAGTTGGCCAAAGAGCTACAGATCAAAAGTTTGACAGTGTATAGTGACTCGCAGCTGATTGTTCGGCAGGTAAATGGTGAGTACGCAACCAAGGATGACATGATGGGGGCATACCGTTCTGCCGTTCTGCGTAGAGCCAAGGACTTTGCAAAGATTGAATTCATACAGTTGCCGAGGGAACAGAATGCAGATGCAGACCGTTTAGCATGCAGTGCTTCAAGTTGTGGTGAAACATTGGCGAGGGTGATTCCAGTGGGAATAGTGACCCAGCCGTCCATTTTCGAAGAACCGATGGTCTCGGACCCTTGGCAAGTCAACGTCATACCGTATGAACCGAGTTGGATTGACCCAATCATTACCTATATTCGAGATGGCGTTTTGCCTATGCAAAGGGATGAAGCTAGGAAACTCAAAAAGAATGCTGCCAAGTACGCTATCGTGCGGAACCAGCTGTACAGAAGGTCCTATTCTGGCCCGTACTTGAAATGTGTCACCCCCGCGGAATCGCAGCAGGTATTGCGAGCTATTCATGAGGGTGTGTGTGGCAATCATTCTGGGGGAAGATCGTTAGCGCATAAAGCAATGACACAAGGGTATTTTTGGCCAAACATGTCAAGAGATGCGGAGGAGTTCTCTCGAAGGTGCGATAAGTGCCAACGATATGGACCAATGATCCACCAACCACCTGAAGAATTGCACGTAATGGCCTCGCCGTGGCCTTTCGCGCAATGGGGGATGGATGTGGTCGGTCCTCTGCCAACTGCAAGAGCTCAGAACAAGTATGTGTTACTAGCCACGGATTATTTCACTAAATGGGTGGAGGCAGAACCGTATCCTAGCGTGACTCAGACTCAGGTGAGACGATTTATCTGGAACAACATTATCTGCCGCTTCGGTGTTCCCAGAACAATAGTCATGGACAATGGCACAAACCTCGACAGCAGGCAAGTAAGAAAGCTGCTGGAGGAGTATGGAATCAACCAGAAGTTGGCTGCAGTAAGTCATCCTCAGGCTAACGGACAAGCAGAAATCACAAACAGAACCATTTTCGCCTGCATTAAGAAGAAGCTGGAAGATCATAAGGGGAAGTGGTTGGATGAACTCCCGAACGTTCTATGGGCTTACAGAACCACCCCAAGGCGGCCGACTGGGGAGAGCCCGTTCGCGATGGCGTATGGTACCGAAGCAGTTATACCGGTTGAGCATTTAGTCCCCACTATCAGAAGCTTAGCATGGAGTCGAGATCAGAACGACAAGATGTTAAGAGTGAACCTCGACATGATAGACGAAAAGAGGGACGCAGCGGCTATAAGGCTAGCATCGTATCAGCAAGTGCTGGCGAATAGTCACAATAAGAGAGTAAAACACAGGGATTTTGCCCCGGGCGATCTGGTTCTGAAAAGAAAGGTGGGGATGGTCAAAAAAATGATGCCACCCTGGGAAGGCCCATACAGAATTGCAGGAGTCATTGGCAAAGGGGCATATACGTTGGAAACCATGGCGGGAAAGTTGGTCAACAAGCCCTGGAACGCCACGTCTCTGAAGAGGTACTATCAATAGAAGCTAAGTTCTGGTTTTAATTGGATGTTATTTGTTGTTAATCAAATACATATGAATGAGCAAGTTACCGGAATTTACAAAAAAGAAGAGAAGAATTTTCTTTTCCAATGGTCTACTATAAAAATTGAAAGCCAAGTGGCAAGTGGCATTCTAGCCGAGCGCCAGGCACTTAAGCAAGATAAGTGGCAGCTGGCACTATAAGCCGAACGCCAGACACTTGCTAAAAATTGAAAGCCAAGTGGCAAGTGGCATTCTAGCCGAGCGCCAGGCACTTAAGCAAGATAAGTGGCAGCTGGCACTATAAGCCGAACGCCAGACACTTGCTAAAAATTGAAAGCCAAGTGGCAAGTGGCATTCTAGCCGAGCGCCAGGCACTTAAGCAAGATAAGTGGCAGCTGGCACTATAAGCCGAACGCCAGACACTTGCTAAAAATTGAAAGCCAAGTGGCAAGTGGCATTCTAGCCGAGCGCCAGGCACTTAAGCAAGATAAGTGGCAGCTGGCACTATAAGCCGAACGCCAGACACTTGCTAAAAATTGAAAGCCAAGTGGCAAGTGGCATTCTAGCCGAGCGCCAGGCACTTAAGCAAGATAAGTGGCAGCTGGCACTATAAGCCGAACGCCAGACACTTGCTAAAAATTTAAAGCCAAGTGGCAAGTGGCATTCTAGCCGAGCGCCAGGCACTTGCCGTACAAACACACAGCAAAACTAATATAAAAAGAAAAAGAGAGAAAAGATATACATGTACTGAAGATAAGTTGAACAGAGCACAACACATAGAGAAAAAGAGTTCGGCCATTTCATTAATATTGAACATTTAGTTTACAAAAGAGAGGTGTCCATCATTACAAGAAGATATGAACTGGAAGAATTCGAAGGAGCCCTAGCTAGACGCCTCAGTACCAACAGCATCCTGGTCCTGCCGACTCGCCTCCTCGGCCCCATCAGCCGCCTCACCTTCATGAGGTGGGGAATCCAGGTGAATAACTGAGTCGTTCGGCTGGGGTTCAGCGTCAGCAGTGGCTACAGAGGGAGCCACGGTTGACGATTGGGGAGCGGTCAGTGGCAGAGCGGTAGGAGGAGCTGTGATGATCCTTGAGGATGCGATGTCCTGGCACTCATCAAATATACGCTCCGCTTCGGTGGGTTCTGGGTCGACATAGACCCCCAGAGGCTCGATCCCCAGATCCTTGTCTACCTCATCCGGAGTGGAGCTGGTCTGTCCCTCATCCGGAACCCGGTCGGCGAAGCCTTCCCGGAATCCTTGAGCATACCGAAGAGCACCGACCCTGGAGAACCGAGCATGAAGGGCCAGCATCCCACCACCCACTCTGCTGATAACGTCGATCAGAGCGGTACGCTCGTCCAGAGCTCTTTTTTCAAAAGCCATCCGAGCAGACTGTTCATCAGCTAGAAGACGTTGGAGTTCTGCCTTCTCTTCTCTGAGTGATTCCTGCTCAGTCTGCCAGACGCTCTTCTCGAGCTGGAGGGCGTCCTTCTCATCCTGAAGGGAATCATTCTCCTTTTTCAGGACATCTCTCTCTTGCTCGGCTTTGTCAAGCCGAACCAGCACCTCGGTATTCTTCATGGCAAGGAGGTCGTTCTCTTTATTAGCCACCTCCAGGCTGTCAGAATACTTTCGGGCCCTGGCGTTCCCCATTTCCACCTGCTTCTGCATGGCCATCATCCCAAACAATGTCTGCATAGGTGCACAATAAGAACGGTTAAACCAACAGTCAGAACGGGAGAAGGCAAGACCAAGTAATATAAGAGAATTCATGAGTTAGAAAATAAAAGTCACCTCCATAGCAGATTGGGGAAAGCGACTGAACACGTCCTTCTGGGAAAGGCCCTTTGCCGCCTCAATGTCCTTCGGAGTCCACATGCTCCTGTAGTAGGCCATAGCGGTCTGGCCATCCTTCAGCATGGTCTCGTTCGGTTTCACGAACGTCCCATCCGTTCGAGTGTACCGAGGGGCCCATGGCGGCAAGCTGGGGATAGAAGGGGGGCCTGAAGCAGAAGCAGAGCCACCAGCTGCAGGAGGCCCAGAGTGAGAAGGAGCTCTGATCGCTCGGTGCAAGAGAGTACCCGGCCCAGAGACTCGGGTCCTTCTAATAAGAGGCTCCTCCTCAGGGTCGATTTCACTGTCAGGATGAGGCCTTTTGCCTCGCTCTTTGTCCCGACCGCCCCCCGCAGCAGCAGGAGCTATGGTAGCTGGGGAGGGCGCGTTCTGGTTGGCCGCAGGGGCGCTGGCAGCAGGGTTAGTAGCCACTGCGCTCGGGACAGTGTCAGATATGGTGGCTGAAGAAGAAGCCGACGCTGGAGAGGAGGTCGCCCCAACAGCAGGAATGACTGGGGGAGTATTTTTCCTCCTGCCAAAAGAGGGAATCTGCAGTCTGCTCATATTGTAGCCGAGTGATGAGAGCGCAAAGAGGTTGTCTGAAGTGAGGAGATCTGAGCAGGAAGGAATATCGTTCAGAACGTATCTCTTCAAGTAGTTAATCCTATCCCTGCAAACACTGTAGCTCAAGTCATCACAAGGTATTCCCAAGGAGCGGCATAAGTAAGTGCAAAAACGAGGAACGCATGTTTCACAGGGGCAGTCGTGTTTATGGGATTTGAATTTTTTATAGGAGGAGACAGAGCAGACACCAAAGGCGCTCGGGATAGGGTAATCCTCTGCAGCCGGCGAAGACCAAGCCCCACTAATACCCACTATGCTATCCCTCCAACCCTTTTCAGATTTTATTGTGTCAGTGCATATGGACATCTTCTCGAACGGGTAGAGGTGGTAGAAGGGCTCGTTAGTACGGATCTTACTGACCTTATAGCACAGAAGGAGGTCTATGAGGTCAAGGTCCAGATTTCTGTCACGCATCAATAAGAGCATAACAGATATGATCCTAAAGAAGTTGGGGTTGACCTGCAGAGGGGATATCCCCAATCTGTTGAAGACGTAACTAAAGAAAGGGTGCAGAGGGAACCTAACAACATTCAGTTGAAGGTTTGTGAATAAGACTTCGCCGGGCAGGAGGCCGGCGCCGGTCGTAATATTAACGTCTTGGGGGCAAACCCTAACTACGATGTTGTCAGGAAGCCTAAGTCTCATACGAAGGACACCCAGATCTACAACCATGGTGGAAGTGCAAGAAGAATCTAAAAGAGGGAAAATGGAAGCCTGCCGAAAGTAAAAAGAACGAAACTAACCTCGGAGGACTGCAAGATCGCTGGGAGAATGACTCTCGAAGGATTTCACCGGAAAAGGCTTGGCACAGTTCTAGAAAGAGGGAGATTTGGCTGATGATGGAGACGGTAAAGGGAAGTGAAGTGGAATTCGAGAGCATTATATAGGCAAGGGGGCCCGAGGGCCGAAGCGTCGGGAAGGCAAGAAATCCCTCGAACCCCGGAACATTGATTCTGGATCTGACCGTTCGCTCCCCCACGTGGTTATCTCGAGCCGTCAGCGTCATGATGAGACGCCATCAATAATTACCCCTTATTAAATAAGGGGCAATTATGGGGGCAGTTGAGGAGGCCCTGGATGACATGGGCCAGGTCCGACTCGCAAAACACAACCTTCAGTCCGAACAGCTGGGTCAGCCCATAAAAGGACACTGCCATATGGGCCGAGCGGGAGTAAGCCCATCAAGAGTGACCAGGGCTTACTGAGGAATAGGCCCAGGTCCAGCAATTAGTAAATATCTTGTAAATATCTTGTAAATATCTATAAATAGGAGTTGGAATGAAGAGGAGGGGGATCTTGATTCGGGTTGAGGTGTAAGAATTCTAGAGAGAGAAAGAATAGAAGGAGTTTCTTGCATCTTCAATAAGCATATGAATATCATTTCTAAATTCGCAAAACAATAGAATGCTTAAATTTTTATCCCATATTTTCATTTATAAGAACAGAAATTGAGAGAACAATTTTGTAGTACATAATTCTATCAAACAGGCAAATTTAAAAAAGAACTCTAGGTAAGACTGTAAGAGTAAAACATGGGTATTTAAAAAATGGACATAATTATATCAAACTGGTAAAAAAAAAAATTAAAAAAAAAAATGGCAGGTAGGAGTAAATCATGGGTATTTAAAAAACTGGGGCTTAATAGAAGATGAACTAAGTTATTGAAACAACTGAGAATGGGTTTTGATTCATACCAAGATATCAAGTTTTCCAAACTGGTTCTTGACAAATTCAGCAAGGGAATGAATACTAGAAGGGTCTGCCACATCAAGCTGATGAAAAACCACAAGATCAGAGAGATCAGACCCTATGAAAGTCTCAAGAGCTTCAAGACCCCTCTTCTCATCTCTTGCTGTGAGCACCACCAACACTCCATTAGAAGCCAACTGTCTACATATCTCGAGTCCAATCCCTTTATTTGCCCCAGTAACAACTGCATACCTACAAAATAGTGGAAAAAAAAAAAAAAAAAATTTGATAGGTGTTGGAGATGTAGAGTTATGGAAAATTTAAATGCTATGCATACTTAAAAAAAGTACATCTTTGTTGCACTGGTGATCATTGGTTCAGCCATTATTGACAAGATGGGAGTTGCCAAAAGAAATTTTAGCTTCAGTACATAGCTGAATAAATCTTGGTCTTCTGAATTGTCAACAATCCTGAGCAGATAATTTATGTTCTATAATTTGGCATTTGGCATGTACGGACAAAACTTTATGGGTCCTCCCTATTAATTTGACATGTTTGTTATATGCACAATTTTTGTGAGGTTCATTCAACCTGGTACGTGGACCAATTATTTCATGACAAGTGTTTTATAATATTATTAGATTTAAGTTGGGTATTACCCGGGTTTGACCCGTTGCTCTAATATTTTTATGGGACCAAAATAACCTCATCTTCTGGCTTTTCATTCTCCCTCTGCCTTGCATACCAAAATCACCCAAATCAGAACTCCCCTTAATCCATGCTCTTCTACACCCAATTTTTCTTTCTGTTATATAAAACACACTATAAATTGTTAGGATAGAGAAAATGGGGGACATGTAAAACCCTAGCTGTGAAGTAGTTGTAATGGGCAATTATATCCAACTGATATTCTGATTGGTTTAGAGAGAGAAAGAGAGATTTGATGAGAGAGAGAAGGGCAGCTCTGGAAGGTTAAGCGATCTAGATCTGAAAGCAAAGCCAAAAAAAACAAAAAGTTCTGAAAGCGTGGTAGAGAGAATGAAAGGGGAGAAGATGGGGTTACTTTGGTCCCATAAAAATGTTAGAGCAACGGGTCAAATCCGGGTAATATCCAACTTAAATCCAATTATATTATTAGACACTTGTCATGAAATAATTGGTTCTCGTACCCAGGATTTAACCTGTGTTGGACCCAAATATCGTCTTATATCTTGAATCTTCCCAAAAAAATAAATAAAATCAAAAACATAAAATAAAAAAATCTATCTTCTTTTCTTTATATAGTGGTGTAGATTAGGAGTAGGTATGTGGTGGACTTGGTCATATCGTACATTGGATTGTCCTCCACACAAAGCATATCTTGTTATGCACCACTTGTTTATTTTCTTGATAATTACCGAATTCGGAGATACCTATAAAATATTTAAACCTCTTCATTTCTCTTGATAATTGGAATTAACCATGTACCATTGATAATTGAAATTAACGAGTTCCAACTCTCTGTATTCTTTTAAAAATTACCATCTCCATCTAAAAATAGTTGTTCACGTTGAGTCACAATTTTTAATGTGATCAACTATTTTGAAACGAGAGGAATAAAAAATTAGACTTTTTTTTTTCTTTAAAGCTTTATTGAGTTGGAAGAAAGGATGAAAGAGGAAGAATAAAAAAAATAATTAAAGGGAGGATGAAGCAATTTTAAGTCATATAAAGGGAAAATGAGAGTGAATTCAAGAGTGAAAGCGCGAAAACGGTAAAATTAAAACATAAATAATAAAAATTTAAAAAAAAAATCCATAAAATGTGAGAATAAAAATGCACTCAAAATATAAAAGTGACAATCAAAAAATAATTGTGACTTAGTGGAGCGTCGTGTGCCCATTGTATGTCCTATCGAATTAATCCTATTAAAAGTAAGGGACCCTTGGCTTGTCCCTTTCCAAAAGCATATGTTGTAATGCGTCATTTGTATATTCCCTTCGGATTAGAACTTTCAAGATTAAGCAACCTTGGCTGGTCCCCTCCCTAAAGCATTTATTTTTTTTATAATATATATATATTTATTTTATGTACTCTGCACAAGGATGGTATAGGTCAAGTGGTTAATTGATCTTGAGGAGGACGGTGTAAAGTGGACTCACAAACATAAAAAGCAATCCAACCACAGATAACAAAGCATTTGTCTTAAAATATGTATAAAAATGACTTTATATATATATATATATATATTTAACACTACCATATTTGTAATATATCAAAAATAATTTATTATTTATTAAATTTTTCCTTATAGATATTCATATAATAAAATAGTAATTTTTATGTAATGACAAAAGAAACAAAGAATTGCAGATCCGTATCATCATAATCTTATATTCATCTCGATTATATCATTTGATTATCAACCCTGCTTGATTTGTTACGTAATTATACATATTTAAATAATCAAATAATCGAATGGAGATAAAATAGTGATTTTCATTTAATGAAAAGGGAACCATTTCAGCATACAAAAACATTGCACACGCACATTTATATAATGATATATATATTAAAACTCGCTTCTTTTTCTTTTTCTTTTTTTTCTTTTTTTTTTTTTAAAGGAGTGAAGCACATGCAAACACTCTCATAGAGATTAGAGAAAGAACAAAATCGTTTAGCATTTGTCTACTAAATGAAGCAACAGTATCTCCTCAGGTAAATAACTTCAAGTCCAAAAGAAATAACAATTCACTTAGCTGAAATATTAGTTTTCGTGTCAGAATACTCAATACTTTATATTCTCTTGAAATAAATCCTATCAAAATTAATGAACCCCTGTCTTGTCCCTTTCCAAAAGCATCTCTTGTTACGTGTCACTAACATATTCCATTGAAATTAATAATTCCAAGATTTTTTTTTGAAAATCCTTGGTTGGTCCTCTCCTTAGCTGAGCTCATCTCTTGATCTTCCTCCACAAGAAAAATTTAAACGCTCCTGGTACAACTGATCACATAGTATTAGGTATTTATTAAACTAGAACATATAAATAAAAATGCATTTATTTTGATGCGTCACATCATTGTGTGTTCGTAATTTAATTGGGTATACGTAATTTAATTATTCCATAATATCGTATCATCACTACATCGTGAACTTTCATTTTTTTTTTTCCCACTTCCACGAGTCTCCTGATCAGAGCCCTAGTTGGTGCTCTGTTTTCCCCTCTTTTCAATTTATTGCACAATGGCAGTTATAATGGATACAGATTACTCTTGGGCTGAGCTCTCCATCTTTCCAGGTGGTTGACTTTGTTTTGAGAGAGGGGTTTGTTTGGGCCAACAGCTTAGTTGGGCCATTTTGTTAAGAGTTTTCTCTGTTCGGCCCTCCAATGGTCTTTATATAAAGGGAACAAGTATGTGGGTCATTATTTTGAATTTGCTAACCCTTCCCTTTGTTAAACATGGGAACCATCTCTTCAGTCCATTTGAGTGTTTTGATTTTGCTTTTGCTTTTTTGAGTGAAAATAGAAAACAAAAATGATGTTTATTATATTGTTGTCACAAATTTGAAAACATAAAACAATAATTGTGTTTAGTAATTCAACATATTTGTTACAAAATGTACATAATATTCTTTAATTTTTTTATTTTATTTTTTATTTTTTTTCATTTCTATTTTATTTTTTTCATGGCAAGAATTTAGGAGTTATACAGGAAGTAACCCAACCACTCAAGCACGACACTTGCTTCCATTAATATCAAAAGGACATAAATCTAGAAAATCTAATTTAAAATTATAAATCTTAAAAATACCCGATACATTATAAGTACAAAATTAAATATACGAAAACAAAAACATTCCCACTAATTATGTATATAAATACATATATATGCATGATGTATATATTTATTATGTGATATATAATATATTTAGCATATGATAATTTATTATGAATAAAAAATATTAAGTAATATATCTTATATGTAATAAAATATATATTGTGTTATAATATTGGAAATTAATTATATTTTAATATTTACATATAATATAATATAGATATGATATATAATAATATAAAATATCTACTGCTTAATAATTTAATAACATTATATTCTATATAAAATATTTTTGTCACAAAAAATAATTTACATTATTATTTAATAAATTAGATATTAAAATATATTTTTATCAAATAAAAAATAATATACAATATTTAATTTATTCTATATTAAAAATATATATTTTTATTAACATTTAATTTGCAACTTAGTAGTATATAATACAAATAATATGAATTTTCTTTAAAATGAATAGTGCCTTTTTGCAGTAATATTAGTGAAAACGTTTCTGCGCTACAATGCCGAAAACATAAAAAACATTGTTTTGATGTTTTCTCTTTTCTTTACAAAAATTAAAAACGTTTTCTGTTATAGAAAAACAAAAATATTTTATTAAACGCGATTTTTGTTTTCGTTTTGCCTTTTTAGAGGTTGACAACAGAAAATAAGAAACGTTTTTCGTTACTAAACTCAGCCTTTATGTATACCCAATCCACTGTTTTTAAAAATCCTTAGTAAATGAGACTCAAAACTAGAAATTAATGTGATCCTCATGTAAAATAGGAGGGGAAAAAAAAAATTGTAAAATAGCAATAAGAAGTGTTCACCTGAGGGCACACACAATATCACATTTTTAGTAGATGGTTGATAAATGTTTAGATGTTACTTAAATAGTGGCCTTTATGCAGTAGCAAGAGCCACAAAAAATTGCAGCATCCGTCCCCTCACGGCATGATCTCAAAAGTTTGTACTCCAACTTAATCTTAAGCAATAATTTAATGGCAAAGACTTACCATTCCGATGTAAAAAGACATCATATATTAATTAATAACCATCCGAAATATTAAAAGAAAAAGTTTTGCCAGACAACTTTGATCGGTACAAAATCTAGCAACTTCAACCAGGTACAAAATTAATGTTTGCATATATCATCGACAAAATATATACATATATATTTATTTATATATAAGTAGGTATCATTTAGGTAATTAAGTACTTTCAAGCACAAACGAGCACAACCACTAGTTAGCGCCACCAACACCACCACCACCACCAGTAGACAAGTCAGTCCAGGCATCAATGACATCATCATCTTCCATGTGAAGTTGAAGTGCAGTTTGGGTCTCTTTGATCTTCTTACCATCGTAAGTAAACCTAACCTGTTCATACACCAGTCCCATATGGTTGCAGTAATAGCGCATCACATGACGCAGTGGCATTCTACCACTGATCCTGAACCACATATCTACTTCGTTGGGCTTTTGTATCCTTAAAGTCATATCACTTTTTTCGTCTTCCTCTTCCTCTTCCTCTTCCTTTTCCTCCATAGAAAAATATACATAAATCCCTTGAGTTGCTGCTGCTGGCCTCATCGTTTCACCCATAGCCTAAGTACAGTACATAAAATTAAGCCATAGTTGGGAACTGCAAAACATATATATATAGTGCGTGTATATATACAATATATATCCTTCCATTTTTATTTCATGCCTTTTTTTATTTTTAAAATCAAATAAAGTACCTGATTAGAAAGTTAAAATAATCAATGGAGATTATAAAAGAGTTTTTTCCTTCTTGTTTTTCGATAAAAGGATAACAATGTATCAGTTGCAAAGAAAATTCGATTCAGAATAGTTATGTAATGTTTTAGAAGAAAACTAAACCCTAATTAGCATAGAAAACATCGAAGGATTAAGAGAGAGAGAGGGAGAGAAACTCGCATCTAGAAGGTCGTCACTTTCAGATTCAAGAAACTCCATGCTTTGAACATGAGAGAGTCTGAGAGAGAGAAATGCAAAAGGCTTTGAACATGAGAGAGTCTCATAGATAAATGCAAAAAGCAATAATAGTAGTGATAGTTTAATACAGAACAGAGGCGTACCTGGAAATGGGTCACAACTCAAGTTACTAGGTACTAGGCTCGCTCAGTCAGTAGACATAGGTATATACTTGAGTGGGAAAAAGGAAAAGACTCTAGATTATATTCTCGAATTGCCCGAGAAGTGTATTTGGAAAGTTGAGTAAAATATTTTATATTTTTAATTTTTCAGATTTTTTTTTCAGTATACAAGGTGTTACCCAAGGTTTACATCCATATATATATATATATATATATATATATATATATATATATATATATATATATATAAGTAGGACGTTTTTGGGGCAAGGTGTTACCCAATGATATCCCTTGAATTGTTTTAATTCAAACAGACCCTTAAAAGGTTTGAAAAGTCAAAATTACCTATCAATTTTTAACTAATTTTAATAATTAAATATCATAATTTTAAAAGGACATTTTTGCCCTTCTACCAATCTCACCTAACCCATTCAACTACTGAATTTAATTTCTCTTTCTATCTTCTGCATCAAGTCCGGCTCACCGTTGTCGGTGCAACACTCGAATTCGAAGATCCGATCACAATCGCCACCACCATCACCCCCTCCATCACCCACAAGCACTTTCCCCACAAGAAAACAAATAACCTCCCCCACCATCGCTAAGAATCGTCACCACCACCTACCTTTACCACTGCCCACCACTTCTTTCCCCCTCTCTGCACTCACTACCACAACCACCACCCACCAGCTATTAGGGTTTTCTTTCTCTTCTAACCCGGTGATCCCCACTCATTCTCTTTTTCCACTCGCTGCCACCATCTTCTCAACCAGATCCTCCGCCACCTCTCGTCAACCACACCAGCCGCCACCATCTCCTCAACCACAGCTGCCACAACCATCTCTCTCCACCCATCGGTAATTGCACAATATCACATCTCTCTTATCACCACCACCAGGTTTGATCTGTGCAAAAACAAAAAGAGAAACAACCCACAGATTAATCCAGATCCATTTGCATCATGAAACCGTGGTCGGAGGTTACGACGGAGGTGTGGTGGCATCACCAGAATTAACTGAATTAACAATCTCTGTTTCTCTTTCACGACCAGCAACTAACATCGTCATCTTCTTCACGGGCTTATTACAGGCTTATTCCAGCCTGTGCGATTCACAGTTCTTGCCGGCAATACCATCCCTGGTGAATTCCCACCACTTCGACCACCACCGCACCTCAACCACTTCCACCACCACCGGCCCCTTCACCACTTCCACCACCACCGCCACTCAACCCACTGCCACCACCTCAATGTTAACCATCCCAACCATGAATTTCTCTCCAACGTCTTGCGGATCTACATATAGACAATAACACATGCACCCAATTCCTCAATTGGGATCAACACTCTCAGATATTGGAGAGGAATTTTACTCACCTTGCCAAAATTTCAACACAGGGCTTCGGCGATCCCACTGATACGTTAGATTTATGGAACGCATATGTGAAGCCTAAGAAGCATAAGGAAGATTTCTGGTGGTGGTGGGGGCTCTTTTCTCAGGCATGAACTTATGATGGCTAAGGCCGGATATGTATATATATGTGTGTGTGTGTGTATATGAGGCTATGTATATATTGACAATATTTGTATACATAGAGATGTGTGAGAGGTTATTTTGGACTTTTCAAATTTATTAGAATGGGTAACTTAGTAATTTCGCTATTCAAAAGTGTCATTTCATAAGTCAATGGGCACTTAAGTCATTTTACCACATGTTTGCCCCTTAATGGTTGTCTTGGTCAAAGGCAGCAAAGTTGAGGGAATGTCATTGTTCAAAGAGGATTAACTTGTACATGATTATCAATAAGACAAACTTCATAATATGCCATTGTAATTAATGGGAAAAAAAAAAAAAAAAAAAAACCCCTCATTAGTCAAGGCACTCTCAATTTTTTTTCCCTGATAAATAAAATAACAAAAATAATCTTAAAATTGAGAAAGAGTGGGGGAGCAAATCCATTAGGCATGCATCAATTGATGATAAGGATGAAAAAATAATGTTTGGGGATTATAATATTGATGTGGTACCTGACACATGAATAAAAATACATCAATTTTGTATTTAATTAGTAATACAATTTCACGGCATATCAAGCATTTACGCCAGTAATGTGGGCTAATAGAAAGTTGAAAGGCGTGTCCCACAATAGTATGTGAAATGGAAAGTTCATAAATTATACTTCATCCATCACAATTTAAGTATACTCCAACTCACAAAAATATGAGTCACAAATTTTAAAACAGAATATTTAATTTAGGACAAAGATAATATAGTAGTTATAGTATTTTTGTTATAATAAAAAATAAATAAATAAATAAAATGGAGCCAATTCTTCTGCAGCTTGGGCACTGAAAAGTGAAAACGTTAGGGAAGAACAGAGATGCAACTTTAATAAGACGACCCTTAAAATCTCTCAAAATGGAACACCTTCCAGTTTCCTTTGACATGGAAAAGGCATATGACAGATTGAGAAGCCAAATGCTAGACTTTTCGGAGTTTCAAAAATAAATAAAATAAATAAATATATAATGCAAACCAAAAAAAGTGGATGATTTAGGGTTTAAATATCTTGATGCTTTCAACTTTTCCATGTTACTAGACTGACCACAAGCCAGTACTGGTTGTGGCGAGTCCAAAATTCAACAATACAAGTGCATGCTTGTGAACTTACAGCATATATAAAAGAGTAGAGAGAATGAAATAGATTTGTAGTACCAAGCATAAATAAAACCTGAGATGGTTAAAAGTCACAAGGTATTTATTTTTGAAGTTTGATGATATACATGCACAGAAAGCCCTATATTCATCAATCAGCATATTATTACATATCACGAACCCATGTTATCCTTCAAAAGTATCAACTTCACTACGAAAAAAGAAGAGACCAGAAGGAGCTCCATCGGGCAGCAAAGCCAGTCTCACAGGGCTTTTGGCACCTTCTTCAAGGCTTAATCTGCCGGTATTAAAGTTCAGATCAGTTTTGACATATCCGGGGCACACACAGTTGATGATGATATTGGGGTACTTCTTGGCCGCTATCCTTGTGTAGGCATTCATGGCTGCTTTAGAGACTATATATGCAGACATAAAAGGAGGCCAGCTTTTGGCTTCTATACAACCCTCTTTGAAATCTTTTAGATACACATTCAATACTTCTTCAACTTTCTCTTCCGTAAGCCTGTCGCCATCACTCAGCACTCCTTTTGCCCATTCATTTGGTATATGCTGAAACAACCGTACATTATCGGAAAATAACAACAACAACAACAACAAAAAGGATCAGCTATTTCATAGACTTCAGTTTACCAATTTGCTAGATAATATCGAACTTGATAAAGTTGCTTAATTATGAGATGCAAAGATTGATTTCATGGAGGGTAAAAAAAAATTTACCTTTAACTTCCCCATGGAGGAAGAAACATTCACAATTCTTGGTGAATCAGATAAGTGGAGAAGGGGAAGAAATGCTTCAATCATCCTTTTTGCACCATAGTAATTTATTTGCAGGCATTCTTCTGTCACTTCATAAGTCTCACTCGTTATTTTATCCCATTTGATCTGTGCTCTTTGCTGCATCAGTGGGGGAAAATCAAAATCAAAATCAAAATTCTACAATTGGAAGGAAAATGTAGAAATGCTATATCTCTAGCTCCCCTTCCTCCAAAACAAATATAATTTTTAAAAAATAAAATAAATTTAAGGAATAATATTTGGTTGAAACCTTGCACATATAAAATAAAATAAATTTTATGCATCATGCAAACTACTTTTTTATTAGTCACCTCATCAGGAGTAACACCACCAGCCACAAAAGATCTCAATGCATCACCGTCTACTATGCCACCAGAAATCCCTGCGTTGTTCACCTTTACAATTTCCAACTTTTTTTCTCAATATTTATTTAACAAAATAAGGAAACAAAAGATTATGCGAAATACACATTTCATAAAGCAATAAATACTTAATTGAAATTCAAGAAGAACATATGATTATTATATCACCTATGGAGCATATGATTTTCGAAATTTTCTTTTTCCCCTAATTGGAATATTTTTGAAATTCAAAAAGAAATACCTATAGAATTGTTAATTTTTAATTTCCTCCAATATTTTCATTGAAAAGAATAGATTTTGATATAGCAATTTTGTATCACATAATTAAATCAAACCGGTAAACTTAATAAAACTATATGTAAGAGTAAAGCATGATGGGTTTTTCAAAAATTGGGTTTAATAGATGACAGAATTAAGCTATATAATGAAACAATTGAGAATGAGTTTTGATTCATACCAAGATATCAAGTTTTCCAAACTGGTTCTTGACAAATTCAGCAAGGGATTGAATACTAGAAGGGTCTGCCACATCAAGCCGATGAAAAACCACAAGATCAGAGAGACCAGACCCTATGAAAGTCTCAAGAGCTTCAAGGCCCCTCTTCTCATCTCTTGCTGTGAGCACCACCAATACTCCATTAGAAGCCAACTGTCTACATATCTCTAATCCTAACCCTTTATTGGCCCCACTAACAACTGCATACCTACAAACAATAGATTGATAGGTGTCGTTTTTGTTTCTCATTCAAAACATAGTTCTTAAGAATTCAAAAACATAAAAGAACTGTTTCATGCGTTTACAGTTAGAGAGTGGCGGCAAGTGTAAATGTTATGGAAGAACTAAGTAAGTACCTCTTTGTTGCAGTGGTGATCATTGGTTCTGCCATTATCGACAAGATGGGAGTTGCCAAAAAGAAATTTAGGTTCAGTATATACTTCAATTCTCTTTCTTGGTTCACTGACTTGACTCTGGTTAGCCACTCGTAATTAGATGACGTCTTTAGTTTCATTTCAATGATAGCTTCCTAATCCACCATTCGTCCATCCATCTCACACCAATCGCATATAATTATAGAAAAATCAAAGGTATTAGGTGAGGTTTCAATTCTCAACTTCCAGAAGACATGCCATGACAAGTTTTGTCATTAAATCAACCCTATCAAGATTAAGAGACTCATTGACTTTATCTCCTCCTCAAAGCATGTCTGGGATTGAATGTCCGTCGACGGAGGAAATTAATATCTGTATTTATTGTGCACGCAAAGTTACGTATTGACACTTTTGACCCGAATGAGCTCCACCAAATTGATACTCGCCTCCTTAAAGCATCTCTCCTTATGCCACTTATAAGTTATAACCCTCGGGCTACCCGCCAAGGGCACGAGCAAGGGCGGAAGCTAGATTTGTGGGCCGAATTGGTTTTTTAAAATACATTTTTAATAAATTTTATAATTTATAATATATATATATTTTTTTTTTTTTTCGAAAAGTAAATATTGAATAGATTAAAAAGTGGTTACAAAGACTGTAAACCTTGGTCCACAAAATGTGGACAAACCCCAACCATACAAATATAACATGGCAGGCCCAAATCAAGACCAAGACACTTCTAGTCTAGTGTTATAGACCATGCGTGTCCATGTCTAGGACATAAAACATTCCGGTGCAAAGCCAGTGAAAGAGCAGAGCCCTAGTTTGGAAAGTCAGGCGGCTCCCGGATGAACGACGAATTTATAATATATTTTTATCTACAGTATTAGTTTACCTATAAATTCAAAATACCAAGGACAAATTCTAAAATAAGAGTACTTGTAAACAACTAATATTGCATAACCTATTAAGTGCATATAAAAGACAAAATATATAGAGAGAAAATTTGAGGGGAAAAAAAAGTGAATACGAATATAGTTTTAAATTAATTCAGGAAAAAAATTTGTGGTATCATGTAATGTAATTTTAATCAATTAAACATTTTAATTATGACTAAATGATAACAAATGCTAATAATAATAATAATAATATAAAATTAACAAATCTCATACAAACCTTTTTATTGTTTTATCCAAATTCTCTTTATCTTATTTCATATCCAAACACACATTACACTGGTAAGATCATTATACATAGATGGCAATTTCAAGGTGTAAAATATTCATATGAGTGAACATATCTCAAAGTTTCTAAAAATTTTTGAAGGGGGCCAAAGGACAATTTCCTTTTATATATTTTTTAAATTAATTTATCATAATAGGTTAATCATTGAACGAACTACTTCAAATTTTTAACATAAAAAAAATCAATCCAGGCATCATAGGATTAATCATTCAATATATAGAGAGTCATGCAAATTGGTACCCATTTCAGAATAAAAAACACATTTCACACAAATATATAATATATAAATTGGTAAAGTACCCAAAAAACCCCTTGAACTATATTTGAATTTATAAATAACTCCCTTAAATTATATTTTGTGTATAAAACCCCTAACTATCTCATTTTGGTGCAATATATCCCAAACAATGTGCTATATTTTATTTAATGACCATAATGCCCCTTCTTATAGAATTAAATTTAATATATTTTTCTTATCTAAATAAATTATGAAAACTTCATAATAATTTGATGAAATATTTTCCATTAAATTTGCATAAATTTATCTTTAATTTTTGTAATTAATTTTTAATAAATATATTACTTGAAAAGAAGGTATTTTTTTCAAAAGTATTTTATTAATTTTTCATCAATATATTATATGAAAAAAATGATATTTTTTTACGATAAAAATGTTTAAATTGGTTAAAATATGTTTTATTAATTATAAATAATAAATTTCTAATAATAAATTAATCAATTTAGAAAATGGTAGTTACAAATCTATTTTTCTATTTTTTTCGTTTTTATGATAAATTCATACTAAAAATAAAATTAAGGTAAATAGTATAATTAATATTTACATAAGAGAAAAGATAATAAAAATAATTTAATAAGAAATGAAAATTTTAATGAAAAATGATAAAATAGTCTTTTGTGATGAATTGTCCTTAATTGCAACAAATCAATAATTCAAGGGGCGATTTTTAATTCTGAAAAATTATTTACAAAAAGGTAATAGTTTAGGAAATCTTTTGCACTTAACCCTATATAAACATATATAGTCATTTTATGTATAAGTAGGCATGCACAGAGCATATGCACTCGTACACCCTCATAGAGAGAGAACAAAATATACAGATTAAGGCATTCGTCTACTACTAAATGAGGAAACATCATCTCTCGGGTAAATTAACTTCAAGTCCACAAGAGCACAAGCACTAACAAGCACCCCGACCAACACAACCATTTTGCCTTTTTACTCTTCAAAAAATCTCAAGGGGTATATATGCTACTAATCTCATAATATAAGAGTGTTATGTGCATATTACTTTAAAAATAATAATAATAATAAAAATAAAAAACTTTTTTTTCTATATATAACTTTAAAAGTTTTTATTTTTTATTTTTTTTTAAAACTTTGAAAATTTGTAAAATAAGGATTTGAATTTTTTGAGATTTCAGTTTATTATTTTCTAATAAAATTTTTTTTCTTTATTTTTTTTTTCCGGAGAAACACTGTTAAGTAAAAACAAAAAAAATAAAAAAAAATCTCAATATCAGTGTGCATTGGTTTTCAAAGTTTGGAACATATTACCATATAGGTTTTAATTATTATTATTATTTTTTTTTTTTTTTTTTTGCTTTTGACCTTTTTGTTTTTAAAGATATTTCTTTTTAAAGTCGAATATCCAATTAACATTTCAAATTTAAAATAATTATGGAATCATTGGAACTTCATTAAAATCATATTTTATATTGGTTTAAAAAAAAAAAAAAAAAAAAAAACAGTTAATTTTTTTTTTTTATTCCTATAATACAACTACTTTTTTTTTTTTTTTTTAAACAGTTGTATTATAGGAATAGAAAATAAAAAAATAAAAAATAACTATTTTTAAAATAAGCAACATTGGTTCCTATATCATAGGCTTCTTCCGTGTTTGGCAAAGGTGTAAGTTTAGATAACTTACCAAAAATTAATGAATATTTTACATCCAAACAAACGAGCCTAAAGTTTAAACCTTTTCCTAATCCAAATGGAATATTTATTTGATTTTATTTTGTTCTCTCTCTTGTTTTCTTGATAACGCCTACACCATTGATTGAAAGCTTTTTCCTAGTCCAAAATAATATTCTTCGTGCAGACCATTAATTTACATTAACAAAGTGAATGGCCTTTAAACTGTTTTTTGTCTTATTGTTTATGTTGACAAGAAGAATGACCAAATGTTAATGTTCTGCTAATTAACTACTGATGACTGGGATATGGAAACATTAAGTTTAATATGGTTATGTGATAAAAGGTCAGTATCTTTGAATTTTATGGTTTGTGTTGTTAAATTTTATGGTTGCTAGTGCGCTATGTAAGTTAGGATTGTGACTTGATATTTGTTTGTATATGTGCTGGTGGTAAGTGAATTTGATGAATGATATGTGCAATAGTTAAGTGTACTAAATATAGTGCGCTAAATGTAGGATATATATGTAGTAGATTAGTGCATAGTTACTTGGTGTATATATGTGCAGGTATTATGAGCAGAATATATGTGTAGTAGCCGAGTAGTGTATATGCGCATGTGGTTTGGTCAGTTGTTCAATTAATGTGCATAAAATGTTCAGTTTCTCAATTGCTCACTTGATTTTGCAAAAGTTGAAGCAGATTGTGCATCAATTGCTCACTTGATTTTGCAAAAGTTGAAGCAGATTGTGCATCAATTGCTCACTTTTAGGTCAATTGCTCAGTTCAGGTCAATTTGCTTAGTTTTGGTTATGTTGGTTCACTTGCTTAGTTTTGGTCAATTACTCCCATGGTGTGTATCAAATAACCAAAACAACAACAAATTCAAAAACAATTATTGCACACTTTTGAGGAATATATGTAAAACTGAATTTCCAAAAGATTACTATAACCATTTCATTAAAACTGACTTCCATTACATGTCAATAACTATAATAGAGAAATAGCAGTGAACAATGCAAACAAAGTGGAAGTCCACGCCTGCTTCAACAACTCACATCATAGTTTTCACTTCAGAACAATGCAAACAATTAAAACTAGCAGAGAGAGACACCCCAAACAAGATCAGGTTTGCAATCAAAATTGCCTTTGCAAACAAGGGCGGAGCCAGGAATTTGTTTCAGGAGGGGCGCCGTATTATATTTTTTTCAAGCGAATAATGATGCAAAACAATAAGTCAAAAAATAGAACTGTAATAATGGTGGAATAATAGTATTTAATAATTTGAAAAATAATTATTTAAAAAAAATAGAAACATAAAATACCAATCTTAAGAGTCTGTTTTGCAACAAATTTAATTACCAAACTTTGAAGAGAAAAAAAAAAAAAAAATAGTTTGAATACATGAATGCAACTTTTTTGTTTTTTAAGAGAATATAAAAAAGAAGAAGAAGAATATAAAGAAGAAGCAGAAGAAGAAGTGGAGGAGGAGGAGTAAGAAAGGAAAAATTAAAGATATTTTTAAAAAATAATTATTTTAGTGGGTATTTTTGTAAAATTTTATAAATTATAGGCCTATTTGCAATAAAAATTAATTGGCACAAGGGTAAATAATTATTTCACGGGGCATTTTTCACTTTTTTATAAATTATTGGCCTGTGTGTAATAAAAATTAATGGCCATTTTCTAGAAAAAAAAAAAATAAATTATTTTAGGGAGGGCATTTTGAAAACTTTTTATAAATCATAGGCCATTTTGTAATTAAAACTAATAGGCCAACATGGGGGGGGGGGGGGGGGGGGGGGGGTTTATGCTAGCTCTGCCCCTGTTTGCAAATGCAATCAACTATGCATTGAGGAATACTCCACCATTCCCAAAATTTGTTGGGGACTGACAGGACCAAGAAAACTTCCTGATGGAGCCACATAACCAATACGACCTATTCGAACATCATCTTCATCCTTTACAACCCACCATTCCCAAAACTTGCAAGCACCCGAACCCCATACTGCACTTAAAAAAAGGAAGCATGTATTGTGTGTGTGCCGCATACACGCCTTATGCCAAAATTAAACTTTAGAACACACACAGTAAATACAAGGGGGTTT